GAGGTCTGGCCATAGCACAGCCTTAGCTAACAGTGCCTGGAACACAGCCCCATAGCAGCAAAGATGTGCTGATCTTGCCCCTCTCTGGAGCAGTTTTGTCATGGAGTTGCAGAAGCCTCTGGGCTGGCACAGGGGAGGGGTGTGCAGGAAGCAGTGGCTGCATAAGAAAGCTGCAGGGACTTTAGTACAGCTTTCAGGTAAGGCCTAGCATGGCCAACAGCTAGTCATCGTCACTGTTTCCCTGTGGAGACACAGGAGTTCAGAGATAGGGGCAGGAGGGGCACGAAGGATAAAAGGAAGATGCCCTCACAGGAGGCAGGTCAGGATGCATCCAGACTGATAGCACCAGTCCATGCTGCCTGTCCGTCCCCCCATTCACACCTCCTGCATGCCAGCACAGCCAACTCTAATGTCCACTTGAAAACTGTCTCCCGTCCTTACTGCAAGGACAGCTTGACAAAGCAGCTGCTGAGCATCCAGGAAACCTGATGGAGATGGAGGAAGGCACCTTCACATGCCAGGCTGTGGTCACAACAGGACAGCAGCTGCCACATCTCTGTAGCTCTGGGCAGGAACAACGTCACCTGCCACAGAGTAAATCCCTGCTGGTTACCAGCAGGTAAGTTTTCCCTTTATGTTTAATTCAGCTGGTGTTTTAGGATGGAAAAAGGTCACAGCTTGATGCAATCTCTAGTTCTGCCAACCCAACTTTATGAGAAAGGAGCCGGAGTCTATTCTTGATCTCACAATGGCAATAAAATTTTGAAATTTTATTGTAGAAACACAAGCTAGGAAAAGCCTTGGGTGAACTGGCTAGGCTGGAATTCAAACCCAACCAAGTAATTAATGGATTTTGGCTTGGACTTATTGACACACAACACAAAGGCCAAAGCTGTCACTGTTGGACACTGTTGGAATGACTGTACAGCTGCACTTGCTTGCAATTATTCTGCCAGCACCTTTTATTGCCACACAGCTTGCTCACAAGTGTTGGGACGTCAGCTGGAGCCCTGCCACAGCCTGTACAAATGTGCCATCACAAAAGCACAGGGCCAACATGTGCCCCAGCCTCTGTGCACCCCAGTATGCATCAGGCAAAATCCTTTCTTCCAGCCTGAGCCCCGCTGCAGCATGTGTTCCTCTAATGGCAGCATGGAACTCCTCACAGTCCTGTTCCAAACAGGAAAGGACAAGACCTCAAGAGCCCAGGTATGCACATCATCCCACTGTTAGAAGAGTTTGGCTGTGGACAAACATTTGGACAAAAAATTGGACACATTTTAAGTGTGTCACCCAGTTTGCAGCTTGGTGACACACTTAAAAAGAGCTTGTAAATGTATGCACTGCAAGCTGACCTGATAATGTGTTGTCAGTCACACACAGCTTAAAATCACAAGGAGGACAGATTAGACAACTGCAATTGCTATTGTTTTCTATGTCATCCCAGGGTGCATATTCAGTTCCGTTCTTTATTATTAGAAAGGATAACATCTTTTTCTAAACAAGACCCGAGTTTACACCAAGTTCCTCACTTGCAACTCTGGGATTTTTGATTAAAGCTTGAACAAGCAAGTTAACAACAATGCAAAACAAATGGGTTTTAAAACAAATATGCATTTAAAAATAAGGGTTTGTATCCCTTCAAAAAATTTAAAACTTTGAACAAGATCAACAACATTGATCTGAAACCAACTGAGTGCCTAAAAGTGCACCAACAGCTCATAGTTTATTGTGTTTCAACAGCATGGAAACAACCCTCCCTCCCCTACATCAGCTCCAAGAAACTAGTGGCCTCAAGGACAGTCACACACCAAGCCAAAGCACCTGAGGCCACCAGCTAGTTCAAGCTGACGGGCAGAGGGTGTTGCTGGCCACAATTTGTCCATGAGGATACAGCTCAGAGGCAGCTGGGCCACTGCAGAAATGCTGCTGGGTGCATCACCCTGGTGTGCTGCTTTGCCACACAATTAAGCATCACTGCTCCCTCTCAGCTTCATTATCATACTTTTAGAACCACATTTTGTGTGCAAATCCAGAGGATGACAACCAATTTCTGTCCCAATCAAGATGTCAAGTTTTTGCTTGGCCACTCAGGTTAAAAAAAAAAAAGAAAAAAAAGAAAAAAAAAAAAAAAAAAAAAAAAAAAAAAAAAAAAAGAAAAAAAAAAAACAACACCAAAACAAAAAAACAGAGGTTGAGAAATCAGCCTCTGTGAGGATGCATCAGCAAATTCCACCTGCATCCCACAATTACATTTGTGCCAGGGCTGGTTGTTTTCATTCATCAGCTGTGGTGCTGAACTCCACACTGAATAGAGGAAGTACGAGGAGTGTATGGCTGCCTGAAACAACCCTTTACTTAAGCAGAGCACTGCCCTGCAAGAAAAATAGAGTAGCTCAGGTGTGTGCTCCTCTTCCCAAGGTGGAGGCAGACCTCAGGGACAGCAGGATGCTGGAGCAAGCCATGGGAGAGCTGCAATCCAGCCACCATCTCACCCTGTGCTGTAGCAAATGCCTCTGTCCATGCACACAGAGTGGGCTGGGGACTGAAGGCTCACGTGTTTGACTTCACAAGGGACCTTCCCACCACTCTAAGGGCATTGAAGCACAGCTGCCAGATGAGGTGAGGAACTCTGGCACAGCAGGCAGAAAATCCAAGGCTATAGCTTGAGTGCACCAAGGACACTTAAAATAAAGGGCTGGCTCAGTGCTCACCCCAGAAGGGCTGACCTGGCTGTGAGCAGACAGTGCAGGGGCCACAGCAAAGGGCAGAGCATGGAGTATCAAAGGATATCAACTTTTCTCCCTGGCAGACTCCCCAGACCCTGAAGCAGATGCAGTGCACAGTAACAGCAGATCACGCAGCTCTGTTTCCCCAGCACTGAAGCTGCTAAGTGCCTGCCCTTGCTCCCACCCGATTTGTACTTTTTTATCACATGGGCAACAGAAGCAGTTGTACTGCAGCATAAACAAGAGTGGAGAAACAAGTCTGGGTTAAAAGCAGCAAGCTAAACCATGAGTTGTTTAACATCCTTTCATCAAGAAGGTCTACAGTCCATTCCTGAAGATCCAAACTGAAGGGACAGCATTTTCAACTGAGCTTCATGATGGGAGAAAAGAGAATTACATGGCAAGACCTGGGAAGAGTTTGCCCACCAGTGTAGGATCTGAGGGCAGTCAACAGAGCTCCATCTGATCTTAGACAGACTGGCATTTAGTAGAAAAATAAAAGTGGAGGATTTGGAGTGAGTGAAACAAACATAAAATATCAACACATAGCAAGGAGACAAGAACTACCAAATTAGTTCAAAACACATAATTCCTTAGTCTTCCTTCTGTTCTTGATACTTTATACTGAAACATAACTGCAATTGGAAGAAAAGGTTCCAGATTTGTCCTTCAGTATGTGCTGAGGACTCTTCCATGTCCTGACAGGTCTGGGAAAAGTCATTCTGAAGCCACTGCAAAACCCTCACTCCATACAGCAATTTCTCAGGGCTCAGGAGTGAAGAAGAAACAGACTCAAGGTGAGAAGCTGCCAAATACTCCCAGACTTGATGCATGGCAGGAACCTGGGAAATGTCAAGGAGTGGCACCCAGCCAGGCTGGTACAGCAGCCAATGCCCCCAGCCTGTCAGTGATCTGACATCTCCACGCAGGCGCTGTTCTGTGGGGATGGTGACATTTGTCCCCTCAGCTCTCCTTGAAATGCAATCCCTGCTGTCCTGAGAAGGACCCCTCCACTGAGGTGTGGGAGGGGGCAATTGTCATCAACGAACTTTACCTAACACAAAACAACTGCAGCAAGAAAGCAACAAAAGGAAAGACAAAGGCTACTATCTGCTGAGTACAAACAGTAAGATTTGTGGAACTATTATTCTATAAAACTATAATAAGGCAAACAATCCACTGTAAATTCCCCCAAACTATCCAGGAGTCACTAGATGTCATCTGCCCATTCCACGAGGAGAACACCACAATAAGAAAGACAAGCCTCGGGGGGGCCGGTAGGCAGGGTTTTGATGTGTAGCTGTGGGGCAGAACTCTGCCTCCCATGAGACAGCCGCAGCCCAGCTGCACAGGAGGCTGGCACAGTGCCACAGGGCTTCCCCACATCTTCACTCCTCACTCCCTGACCAAACCCTGGAGGCATTCAGGAAATACTTCGGGCTTGTCTCAACTAACCTCTTTCATCTTTCAGACTCAACGGCTCCTTTTTACAACACAAGAGCAGCCAAGCCAAGACCCCAATGAAAGGATGGACAGCCAAGATGTCCCGGCACCCCACCCGGGCCTGGCCGATCCCAGCTCCATTTAATACTCCGAGTAAGGTTGGAGAGACACCCTGGGGCCGTGGGTGGCTGGGGAGCCAGCCCTTCCTCCCTGCCGCTCGCTGCTGTGTCTCACTTCTCCAAGTGAAAGCCTTTGACGCCGAAGGTGCTACCGAGATGCTCTATCCCGGCGCCGGAGCGCCGCCCAGGCCGCCAACCCCAGCGCGTCCCGTACAGAGCGCTCCCGCACCGCGCCCGGCCCCACGGGGTCACCGGGCACGACCACGGCGGGCCCGGCGAGGGCGCCCGGGCCGGAGCGAGGCGCCTCCTCGGGCACGGCTACCGGGCGGAGGGGCCGGGGGCGACAAGGGCCCTACGCCCTGAGGGGGAACTGCGAGGGTGCAGCACAGGGAGGCAGACGGGAGCAATGCCCCGCTCCGGGAGCGGCAGGGCCGCCATACTCACCGCCCGCCCGGGCCCGCCGCCGCCGTTACCATGGGGAGCCGGCGGGCCCACGTGACTACAGCTCCCGGCAGCCCCCGCGGGGGCCGCACTGCCCCCTGGCGGCGCGGCGGGAAACGCGCGGTTACACAAGGAGCGGGCGTTTGCCGGGGCCGGCTTCCCGCGGGGGCACCCGGTAAACACGGCCGCGAACAGTCCCGCTCAGGCGGACAGCGCGGGCTGCAAGAAGGTCCGGCTGGAGCCGCAGGAGGGTGAAGGAGGCGTCGATGGCGTCCCAGGATGCCCGGGCATCACCGCTCAGCGCCGGTAGGCGACGACAGCGGGCCGGGCCCCGCGTGGTCGGGCAGAGCTGCGAGGCGGCGGAGGAGCAGCTCCCGGTGCCGGGCAGAAGGCGATCGGGAACTGACAGGGCCCAGCGCGGCCAGCCTCTCGGTGGCTTTGAGGGACAGCAGGACCTGCACGGCCACGAGAGGGACAGGAGTCACCCACCAGCTTGACCCTTGTCCCCACAACTCCGTCAGGTCCCCCAAAGGAGCCGAGGTCCCGTGCGGTACCTGCCGGATCCCGGCGTGCTGGCTGAGGGCTCGCAGTGCCTCCAGGGCTCCCTCCTGCACGGTCTTCCGCGGGTCCTGGCAGGCCAGCTGCAGCAGGAGGTCGGGGGCTCTGTTCTGGACCAGCAGATCCCGCAGCTCCTCCCCGCGCTGGCCCAGGTTGCTCAGGGCCAGGGCCGCGTTGCAGCACGTCTGGGCCCGCGAGTCGCTCAGCAGCCGGGCCAGCGCGGGCACGGCCCTGCCCAGGGCCCCTGCCGGGCAAGACGCGTGGCAGGCAGCATTGCCCACTGCAAAGGTGGCTGCCCTGCGCACGCAGCTCTCCGGGTCCGACAGGCACTCCAGCAGTCTCTCCAGCCAACCCGGCTGGCTCTGCAGCGCTGGGGAAAGGCTGTGGCGGAGCAGGTTGCCCAGCAAGTTGCAGGTTCTGGCCCGTATCAGGTGTTGCTTATGGCTGAGCAGATAGGTCAGTGGGTGGTCAGCCACATCTGAGTCCCTCAGGATCCTCTGGAGAAAAGGCAGGTGCTCTGAACAGGCCCGGGCCACGTGGGTCAAGAGAGACAGGAGGTCACTTGTGAGTATGACATTGTCTGAGAACAAGACAGACTTCAAGAAGGCAACAATGTGCTCTGAGGCAGTAGCTTCCCTCACCACTTGGTCTATGACCTGTGTATCAGACACCACAAGTTGGCACAAGAGGCCCATGGGGAGCTCGGTGAACGAGAAGGGCAGATGGTGAGCGCAGACCTAAGGCAAAAGGACAAACGGCACTGCTGAGTGCACCACACTCAGTGTGAGCTGAGCCAAGCCAAGCAGCAGCTGAAGGCAGCCAGCTTAGCAGTCAGTCAAGCTTTTCCAAGGGCTGCATAGCACCCAAATGACATCCTTGTCTGGGCTGCCAACATGATGTGAAGTGGTGCCATGCACTGGGGACTGCAATGTAGGGAGGGGTCACCACAGTATGGGGGAAAGGAGGAACACAGGGTCAAGAGAGTACCTGCAGCAGCTGGGCAGGGATCTGCATATCTCTCACAGCCTCCATTATCAGTGCTAAGGTGTCTTTATCCACATCCAGGGCAAAAGGCAAAGAGAGGAGCTGGCAGACCTGGATGACCACATGTGGGACAACGTCAGGATCCCCATCCTTTCCTGCTTGCCTGAATTTGTGAAAGAGAGAGGGCTTAATACAGAGATGATCAGAAAAACCTCTGGGCAAGGGGCAAAGGGCATTCCCCATGCCAGGCACTAAAGAGAGGCTCTTTAAGTGCCAGGTCAGGAACTTCTCAGCCCTTGGTGTGCTCATGCCCATGCCCCATTCAGCAGCTGAGCTCTGCCCACTTCAGCTCTTGCCACAACTCACATCTGTGCCATGCATGCCAAGAAGCCAGGGGACAGCAGTCTCTTCAGTGTCACCATGAGGACACCATGGGACTGGGTGAGCTGAGGCAGACACTGGTGGGACTCACGAGTGAAGATGCTGAGGGCCAGGCTGAGGAATAACAGGGTTCCTGCAGGGGAAACAGCAGGCAGTAGGGCAAAGCTAGAGAAAGCTGTCACTTCTGTCTGTGCTACCTCAAGGCTGCTCCAGGGTAGATTCTGTGATTCCATGCCCAAAATCAGAAAATCTCCACCCAGGTGGTCTACATCTGCCAGAATGGACATTCCCTGCAGCACAGACATCCTTTTTTCTTTCTCCACAGCCAGCTCAGCTGACCTGCTGCCAACTGGGCACAGTATGGGCCAGCCCAGCCCAGAAGTGTCTCCCCAGAAGACACTGCAGTCCTCAAGAAAAACCACCTGAGTTCTCTGGCCACAGGGAACAGATGTGGAGAGGGACAAACATGGGCAAGTCTGAGGGCAGGATGTCAAGCAGGGTCCAGGGCAGATGCTCTGCTGTCCCACAGCTCCTACCTTGAGGGGAGAGGAGGTTCCAGTCTGGTTCTGCTATGGGGTGACTAGCAGCTGGGGGTAGGTCTCCCCCCAGCGCTGCCCCGTTGGTGTCCACATGAAGCACCACAGCAACACAGTGCCAGACCAGGCTCCATAGCTCAGAGGAAGCAAAGCCCTGCTCCAAGACCACATCGTCCTAGAGGCAGAGAGGCAGATGTCAGAGGCCTTCATGATACTCCATGGCTCCCCAGGGTTCTGATACATGGCTCTGCAGTCCCATGGTTCTCTGAAGGTCAGGGCTAGACAGACATGGTCTACAGACATGTAAACAGTCCTGCACTTTTAGTAGTGTCAGACCCAGGGCATCTCTGCCCTCCTTCACTCCAGTGTGCCCATGTGGATAACCTCTCCCCACCCACCATTCTCCCATCAGCCCTGCAGGGACACAGGGGGACTTTCATGGAGTTGTGCTGCCAAAACTGCACAGATCCTGGTTTCCCTCAGCCTTGTTACCAATGTGCATTCAGGCCTTTTTGCCACCACACCTTTTGGCAGGAACCAGGCAAAGGAGATGGCTAGACTGGTACCTGTTCAAGGAGTTTCAGCAGGAGGAAAAAGAACCCATCATAGAGACCAGCACCCATTGGCAGGGGGAGCTGCAGCTGTAAGACAGTGGGAGACAGTCTGAAGCTGGGTGCTGGGCTTGAGGGCAGCAGCATCACAATTGCACCCTTCTGAGACCATCTTTGCACACCTCTACAGTGGGGTATGCATGGGTCCCCATCTTCTCTGTCCCCATCCCATACCTCAGCAGGTGCAGTCAGCGCATTTGTTACCACTGGTAGGATCTTTTCTCTCTTGAGCTCCAAAGCCACCCCATGCTGACTGAGCTGTGCCAGGAGAAATGCTGAAGCACCCTGTGGGACAAGGAAAATTCAGCACCTTTGGGACTTTCCCATCTGCTCAGTAACTATAGACCCTTCATCCCTTGGCTTCATCCCACTCTGAGTGAGGAACAGTAAGGCCCAAATGGGATGCAGGGGTCTGCAAGGCTCTCAGTAGTGGCTCTGGCAGAGGTTGGTGGCTTACCACAAGGGACACAACAGGAGACTGGGTGATGAGATCCACAGCCAGGGCAACCATCTCCTCACACCTGAAATGCAAGGACCAGGAGAGAAGCACTGTGTTCTCACAGCTTCACATCATGCAGAACAGCAGCATCCAAATACCCACATGGCTGGGAAGCAGCAGCGTTTCAGGAGGAGCCCTGGTTCACAGCACCTCCTTGTCTGCACTGGGTCATCCTCACCACATCCCCAGCACCCACCCACACTGCCCAGCATTCTGCTGGTATGTCTGGATCAGTGGGACCAGGTTCCCAGCTCTGGGCAGTGTGCAGGACAGAGTACTGTTCGGAGCAGGGCATGTTCCTTTCCCACCATGAGTGAAAGTGTCTGCTTACCTGGGAGGGGATGCCTGAAGCTGCACAGTGAGCAGGGCCAGCAGGTACAGAGAGGCTTCACAGGCTGCCTCCTGAGTCACCTCCACCACAGGGACCTACCAAAGGAACAAAAGTCACAGCAGGGGAGAAGGAGGTGTTTCAGGGCCCTGGAGGAGAACTGCACTCTTCAGATTGAGCTCCCCTAAACTCCTCCCCCCACTATAGATTGATCTTACCAGTGCTCAGAGGAATGCATCCTGCTTGCCCACACTCCTACCCCTACCAAGGGGCTGTGGTCAGTCGTACCTCACCCTTCAAGATCTGCATGAGGGAACCCCACAGTGGCTGGCTCCTTCCCAGTTGCCGGCACAGGTTTGGGTAGGCATGGCAGCCAGCATAGAGGATCTGCAAGGCAGAGGGAAGAGATACCACCAGCCACTATAGATAGGTTCCACCCCATGGCTACTATAAATTCATTTATTCAACAATTGACACCAGGCAGATGGGAGCCATTGAAGGCTAAGCTCACAGTTCCTTCTTTGCCATGCTCCTAATCTCAGAGCAAAAGCTTAGGCACCTCTGGGCAGAGCCAGATAAAAGGACAGGACCATTACCTTCAGGACATTCAAGGAGCAGCCTGGGTCCTCCAGTCTCCCCAGCAGTCTTGCAAGCTGCTGGCTCTCTCCTTCCATAAGCTTTTCAGCTAACGTGTGAGCAACCTGTAGGAATCAGCCTGTTTTGCACTCTGGGCACCTGAAGCACTCCCCAGACTAGAAGAGTTTAATGCTAGCAACAATTTAATGAAAGAAAGCATCTGCTTCCTCCATCTTGTCTATGTCTACTAAGGGATGCCCATCTGCCATGATCTAGCATGGCTTTGATGCACAGTCCCAGAGTTGAGATGAACAAGGTAAGATTTTCCTCCTCTGCTTCCCTCCTTATTGACTTCCCTCCTTGTTAAAGAATCAAATGTAAACCTGTAATTGTTTTCCCTCTTGCTACCCCTTCAATTTCCTATTTCTTACAGTTCATATCACTGCAATAAAAGAATTCATGTTCTCCCTACATTGCCTAGTTCTTTCCTAAGCCCATTTCACAGTTCAGATCCTAAGTTTGAGTTTCTTAATTGATTCAAGAATCTTTACATTCCTAAGGATTCCTAAGGTCAGCTGTTGTCTGGGGAGGTGCAGCCCACAAATATGAGCCCTGCAGCCAATAAAGACAGAGGATCCCAGCCCTCCACTTTACTGTTGAGAGAGATCCTCCTAGAAAGGCCTGCTGCCCCTATGAAGACCACACCTCGTCACCCTGTACAGAGAGCTGGTCTGACCTGCTGCTTGGCTTCCCGACAGCTGTTTCTCTCCAGGGGCATGCTGCATGCAGCAGCCAATGCAGCCAGGAAGAGGTCTGCCACACCTGGGCTCTGGTCATGGGCTGACTTGGCTTCCACTGCTGCACCTGCACAGGGACAGAGCTGGGCAGTCATTGTGCTAAAGGTGCTGAGGGGCAGCAGTACAGGGTTGAATGGCAAGAGAGAAAAATTCAGGCTTGTGACATAAGGAGGGTGCAATCTGGGATTGAGGGAAGAGAGCCTAAATTAGCAGGGGTCTGGACAGGTAAGTTTCAGCCTCTCCTGGCCAGCAGCACTACAATGGCCATTAGAGCTCTGATGGAGCCCAAGGGCAGGAAGGAGAAGAAACCCCAGGAAGAGGTGGCGAGCTGCTACCACTGCTACCTCGAAGAGCAGGCTGCTCTGAGATGGATCCTTGAAGGAGTCTGTTCAGCAGGGGCTGATGCTCGTCTTGCAGTTTGGTGTAGAAGTGTGCAGAGATAGAGGTGTCTGTCATGTCCAGGCTCTCACAGAGCTGGGTAAAGCACTGGGGAAGACACAGGGGTTGCCATCACTGCAGACTGAGTTTGAGAGGAAAGAAAAGGACAGCACAGGAGGAAGCTGTGGGAAGACAGCAGAGATGGGAGAAGAATTCATGCTGGAACTTCAGGGAACTCTGTCCACTCCAGACAGGTTTCTGTATGGGATCGACATCTGGCTGCATGAAGTGAGGGGTACACATGGAGGCACATGTCCCTCCTCATCTCTATCACAGCCTGGCAGAGCATGCCCAACAGCTACTTTTGCTCTTACTGACTCTGGCACTAAAACATGCAGCTTGAAAACAAAGGCTAGAAGATATCAAATGCCTGTATGCATCTCCTGACCAAGCCACATGTGAATCATACTCCAGTGCTGAGACCCCGCTGTGCCCACCCAGCACAATCCCAGCAGCAGAACTCTTGGCAGCAGAGCCAGGGATATGTCTGGTGAAATGACACTTTTTGTGCCAGAGTGTGTACAAGGGGCTGCATCTGCCATCAGCTCAGCCAGTAAAGCCACACTAGAATGTTAAGGCCAGCAAAGGTGCTCCCTCAGAGACCTTATTTTTGTATGCAATTCCCTGCTAAAACCCCAGTGGGTGAGACAGCTTGCCCTGACAAGAACGCATCAGACCCCATAGTTAGGAGCAGGGTGCTCAGGCTGTATTCCCCCAACATACACTGACAACCCCATAACTTCTGTCCCTGAGGGCAGAGGGTGTGGAGGAGGGAGATGGGGGCACTCTTACCAGGAGGCTTTGCTGGCAGAGTCTCATCTCACTGTCGACTGGCACAGCTAGCAGCTCCGGCAGCAGGGCCAGGAAGCAGTCAGCACTCTCCTGGATGGTCTGCAGTCTGTGGGGGGCAGCAAGGGCAGATGAGTGCAGAGAAACATGGCCCCTTGCTTTGAGGGAAGGCCCACATGGCCCTGGCTAATGGAGCAGGCAGCACACACACTGTGAGCTGCTGCCAGCAGGCAGCACAACTGGACTTGTCAACTGTGCCTTTCCTTGAATTAATCCCATTCAAGGAAAGTGCTCCTCTGTGAGCACAGCAATACAGCATGAAGTGCTTAGACCATAATGCTTCCCCACAGAGACAACTCCAGCTGCAGAGTATGAACACCACCCTTCCACCTACTGCCAGGTCCCCAAAGTGACCACACAAGACCTCAGGGAACAGGAGGTTTTCCCTACCTGTATTTTTGCCCACTCTCCTCTAGGCTACTGAAACAAACTTTGGTCACCACGAGGAGGTCTGTCAGCACAGCGATACACCAGGGCTGCTGCAGAATCCAGAAAGAAACCATAAATGGGGATTGTCTGCTGGCCATCCCCACAACTCTATGACAGGATCCTTCCCTACCAGAACCTCCCCCTTCTCAAGGATGCCTGGAAGAGGAACCAGGTCCAGCAGGACACCAGGGCCTCCTCAGCACCAGCACTCTGCAGGCGCCCACATTTCCCTGGGGTTCTACACTCACCTGCTTGGTTACACCACTTTCCAGGATCTGCTTGGCTAGACACAGCAGGGACAGAGGCACATTTAGCTCTTGGCAGAAGTGGTCCAGCAGCTCAGCATCACACCGGGTAGACAGGAGGTTGCCAATAACACGAAGCACAGAACGAAGATGGGAGGCTCCCTCCAGCATCCCTTCCAGCACCTGGACACAGAGAAGCCAGAAGAGCTTATAATGAGCAGCAATTTTGGTGTCTCCACCAGCCATGAAGCAGCCCTTCAACCCACTCAGGCAGGGGACAGCAGAGGAGCAGATGGCAAGCCAAGTGCACAAGACAGCTCCAACTCCCGGAGAAGCAGAGGATCTTTTTGCTGGCTGGGCTGAGGATTCTCCATATGTTTCCAACCTAATCTTGATAAACAAGGCAGCATCCAAGTCTCCAGTCTTAGTTGCCTGGGCCAGCAATCATTTACCTGCTGAGCAGAGGCTGCCAGGTGGTCCTGGACACGGTGCTGGAAAGCCAAGTCCCTCAGGAGGCTCAGAGGCACACTCAGCTGCATGGCTGAGGGCTCAGTGTCCTCAATCAGGTGCTGCCACTCCTCATCACTCTCCAACTCCTAGCCACAGAAGAGAGAGGACTGGTGCCACAAACCCTGCCAGTCCCAGGGTCTCTGTACCAGCCCCTGGAAACTGGGCCCTGCTGTCCTCACTCAAGACACCATCTTACCTCACTCTCCAGGTCCACAGCCTCAGTGCTGTGCCTGCTGCAGGGCTCTGCCCTGCCAGCACCAGGCTGTGAAGGGGAACCTGCTCCAAGAAACTCCCACTCACAGTCTTGAGAGAGGTTGTGCTGCCTGGCCAAGGAAACAGTACAGTCAGTGAAAGACCTTTCCTTCCCCTCTTCCTTCTCTCCCAGCCTGTGCCTCTCTCTCCCTGGGATAGGAGGAGACTCCTCAGACTCCCACTCTGCTCTGCTGTTCTTTCCTTGCAGGAGACATGGGTTCTTCTCATTGGAGACAGCCAATGGTTCCCTCTCCTCAGGGACTGCTTTCCGTGATGCTGCTCTGGGACTATGTGTGGGATGTCCATTGGCAGAAACCTTCATAGATGCATCACCTGCCTTCGGTTGCCCCTGGTGATGGCAGAGAAGTTTGGTCAGGGCAGGGTTACTCAGTCAGATGAGTCCTCTAGATTCCACTACCATAAGCACTCCACATCCTGCCTTGTGTGTTGCTGACACCCCAGCCTGACCCATGTACTCATGTGTTTTCCCCCAGGGCCCACTTCAGTGTCCTTCCTTTGCTCTGACTGTGAGACATAGCATGAGGAACCTCACACTTTACTCCACCTTTTTCTGTGTCTCTTCAACCATCTTCTTCTGGGCCTTTCTCAAGATCCTGGACTGGCTGCTCCTGGGGGCCATGGAATGTACTTGCTGCTCCTTCAGGGCCTGCAGCTCTGGAGATAGCTTGACGGTAAAGGGGTTTGAAATCCCATGCTTTTCTGTGTCATCAGTCACTGGGGAGGCAAGAGGAGAACTTCAGCAGCAGCTCTCTCTTGAGAGCGTGATCTTTCTTGAGATCCCAGGGGAATCCTAAGGAACCCAGAGCAAGACCAAGAGCAGGAGCTAGGAGTCAGTGCTTGGAAAAAGCTGAGAGGAGAGAGGCATAGACCAGGATAGTGAGAAATGGCAGGGCAGGGAGGTCCTCACAGTCTCCAGACAGTAGTAGAAGGAAACAGACCTGGACAGTTTTGGAAAAGGACTAAGTACTTACCAGTAACCCATCCAGCAATGAAGGGGTGAGAAAGTAGCTCTGGCCATGACAGACGCTCATGGGGGTTCTTCATTAGTAGTCCCTGAAGGAAGCTCTGCAGAGCAGCGGAGCAGCAGGATCACTGACACATGTTCAGCACCCACCAGTGAGCATAGTGTACCCAACCAGTCTCCCTCACTGAGGGCACCCAGGAGGCCTGCCTTTCCTGCCTAGCTCTGGGAAAGGAGTAGCTCTAGTGCTTAGGGCAGATGGCAAGACATTTCCCTTCGTAACCCACTAAATCACTCCTCTGCTGTTGGACCCAGTTTCCCAGCTCATAGACAGCAGACATTTGATAACAGTGATAAGGATTCCCATTCCAGGAGATCCAGCTCTCATTCACACAGCTTTTCTGTGTTCTGAAGTCACTGTTAGGGGACATAAAACCTAAGAGTGACCCACCAGGGAAGCAGGTGAGGCCAAAACTGCATTAACAGATCTCACCCTGCAGACAGGGCCTCGGCCCTTACCTTGAACACTGGGCTCATGTCCACAGGCCATTTGACAGGGTCCTTGATGATGAGGCTGACAAGCTGGAAGATGCTGTTGGTGTAGAAGGGAGGAGTGCCCACAAACAGCTCATACAAGATGCAGCCCACTGACCACAGGTCTGCGGTGTGGTCATACGGCCGTTCTTCCACCAGCTCAGGGGACATGTACAGCGGGGTGCCCTTGATGGATGTCAGCACCATGGTGTGGATGCTCATGGCACGGGCAAACCTGCTCAAAGTACAGATCTAAAGTTCAGGCTGAAACATCAGTTGCAGATCTTAGGGAGCTCCCTATGAGTTTATCCTCCTCTGGAGGACAAAATCTCCCCTCTCTGCCTAATTTCTAAATATGCACAGAACCCAGGCCCTCTTCCGCACTCCTTCACTCCTCCTCTGCAGCACTCAGGAAACCCCTTGGCTGCTCCAAGCACCAGCATTCCCCTCAAGCTGGCCTCCAGCACTCACCCAAAGTCACAGAGCTTGACAACACTATCTTTTCCCAGCAGGATGTTCTGGGGTTTCATATCCCGGTGCAGGATGCGGTGGGAGTGCAGGTAATAGAGAGCAGAGATGAGCTGGGCAGCTATGGTCTGGACCTGCCAGAGACACAGAAGCCTCACCCTGTGTCCCATGGTGCCACCCGCTGGCACAACCACAGGGGCTAGGTCCCTTACAGCCTGGCTCCCACACTACTTCTACTTTTGTCCTGTTTGGGGCAGGGATCATCCCCAGCTGTGGGCCAGTAGTTTCTTGGAGTGGGTCAATAGCCATGGCAGTCTAGTGCTGTGGCCCTTGTAAAGGGAACAGAGAAACTGAGGTCTCTGCAGGACCCCACTGTCCCACAATGCCAACCTGGCCCCTTCTCGATGCTTTTCAGAAGATCTGCCAGGTAAAGTCCCAGAGGCACCCTCACCCTCCTGACACTCCTGGCTCACAGCAGAGACCCTCTTCCTGCAGGCACACAAGTCCTGTTTTCTCTAGCCTGCAGCAAACACTGCATGGCCACTGCAGTGATAGACACCTGGCTCTCAGGCAAACTCCCATCATCCTCCAGGATCTGGAAAAGCTCTCCCTCTGCATAGTCAGTCACTACCACCACCTGGAGAGAAGAACAACATGGTGAGATCAGGCCCTGGGGACCAGAACAAAGCAGGGTAACAAATTTGCGGGAAGGTGTTGGGGTGCCATCATGCAAATTCCATCAGCTTGGGCTGGGACTTGGAATGGAAGAGAGCTCCCATAGCTGGCAGAGATCTTGTAGCTGTCCATATCTCAGCCAGCAAAAACAAGGGAAGAGGGAAGGACAAGACAAGCCCAGAATGGCACTGCCAAGCCCAGTGGGTAGAATCACTCCTTGAGCTTGTTTTGAATCTGCTGTCCAATTACTTTATTTCACGTTCCCATGTGCTATAGGACAGTCTTCAATCCTCTCTTATCATATTATATCCATGTGAGTTTAAATCAGTGAAAAGCCAGTCTCTGAAGAGAGTGATGAGTGAAGAGTGACCCTCATCCTGTGATCTCAAACCACTCCTCCTGCACCACACAGCACCTGGTCAGCTCCTTCACCTCTGCATATGACCTAGTGCAGCCCATACAGGTGTTGGCTCCCCACATGGCACATACTAAAGGGCTCTGAAAAACACTAACCAGAGCCTGGGATGAAGTCACCAGCATCTCCTGAGAAAGATGTCCCTACAACAGCAGGGAACAGTACTTGTTCCCCTGCCCCAGTCAATCAAAAGTCTTTGCCTGGAGTAATCCCCTTCACCTCCTTAGCAGTCTCAAAGCTGTCAAGCATCTGGATGATGTTAGGGTGATGGAGGTCTCTCACAATCTCAATTTCCCGCTGCAGGTTCTTCAGCTCCTTCTCGGACCGCCCCACCTTGGGGATGAACTTCAAGGCCACCACCTTTCAAAGCAGGAAAAGCTGGGATCAGACCAGACTCCTGGTCAGACCCACACTGGCAAAGGCTGCTTTTAACCCAAACAGGGTTCCAGCTGAACACAGACAACAGAACAATGAGACATTTGTTCACTGGGCCTTTGGACCTAGGGGTCTCCCTAGGCTCACTTATGCTCACTGATGCTCACACCTCTTTTCACACTGGCATTTCAAGCAAAGAAATGTAACCAGTGAACACAGATAAAATTCAGAAACATGGGACAGGACCTCAAGATGCTGGTGAACAGCAGGCCTAACATGAGCCAGCAGTGTGCCCTGGAAATGAGGAACAGTAGCAGCACCCTGGGCTGTATCAACAGGCAGGAACCGCAGCAAAGTGATTACTGACCTTTATTTCTAATCTTGTGCACCATGTTGGGAATATTGTGGCCAGGTTTTTGGCCCAGAACATCAATAGGAGGGAATGGGTATAGCAGAGAGGCCCATGATGGTGAGGGGACTGAAGCATTTGGGAGGACGACATGGGAATTACAAATTGAAACGGAGGGAGGTTCAATTTGGTAACAGAATCATCCTAGAAATAGTCAGGCATCAGCTATGGGGTGTTTGTCTTGGGGGTTTCAGAGGATCTAAATTTAGTGCTGGCTCTGCTTTGAGGTCTTGAAGTCGCTCCTGAGTCCCTTGAATCTGGATGACTTAGTGCCAGCTGGAGCTGGTCAGGAACGTCAGCAGAAAGCCGAATGAATGCCGAGTCCCAAAATCCTGGCAGAGCCTTCGAAGCCGAGAGGCACCAGAAATCAGCCCCGGCCACACACAGCAGAGCCCCAGCCCTGTCCCCTCACCTGGGCGCTGTGCTTCCGGCGCCCCTTGTACACGCGCCCGAAGGACCCTTCGCCGATCATCTCCAGGATGTGGTAGTTCTCCATCGCTCGGGACGGGGCCGCTGAGCTGCGAGGCAAAGAGGCCAGTGCGGGGCAGCGCGTCCCCTCCCGCGGGGCTGCACCCCGCGCCCGTTCCCCCGGGCGAGTGTCGTCCCCCCGCGCCCCAGGCTTTGCTCCTACCCACCGGCGCCAAGGCAGGACGAGCCCCGAGCAGCAGCGGCAGCGACCCCGCCGCGGGACGAGCCTCGCCCCGCTCCGCCGCCGGCCCGGGCCCGCCGCCGCGGCGTCTCCTGGCAACCGGCTCGCCGCTTCCGCTTCCGGGCGGGCGGCGAGATGGCGGCGGCCGCTGGGGAGGCGGAGGCGACGGACTGGTAACAGCCCCCGAACCTTCCCCGGTCTCTGCGCCCTCCCACGTGCCCGCACCTTCCCGGCCCCCGCACCCCCGCTGTCCCGCACCCCCAGCCCGCCGGAGCCGTCTGACCCCCGCCTGCTCGGTTCCCGCAGGGCGCTGCCGCCGGAGGTGGAGGTGCTGGAGTCCATCTACCTGGAGGAGCTGCAGGTGGCGCGGGGCCTGGGCAGGTACGTCCCGCGCTCCCCATCCGCGGCCCGGCCCCGCGCCGCCCTCCTCACCCCGATCTGCCCGTTCTGCAGGTGGGAGCCTTGGGAGATCAGCATCACCCTGTACCCTGCCACGGCCCAGGACCAGGACTCGCAGTACGTGCGCTTCACCCTGGTGCTCTCCGTGCCCCCGCAGGTAGGCTGCCCGCGCCCCCCGGGCCCCCGCACCTCCGAGCCTCGGGCCTCTCCACCTTCCTTGTTGTGCTTTGGCTGTTTCTCTTTTATCCTAGTATCCTGATAAAGCTCCGGAGATCTCCATCAGGAATCCGCGGGGGCTGTCAGATGAGCAAATTCAAAAGTGAGTGGCAATTCTTTCCTCCCGAGATTCAGGAGGCAGAACTGATGGACAAGCCTTCTCTAATTCACATGACTTCCTGTGTTTGGTTAACATATGGATACAGGTCCCTAAATCACTTTGTCCTAAATCTTTCAGGAGCCACTGGTGCCAAATTTGACACAGAGGGGTCCACCTTGTGGTTATTACCCTGTGGTTCCCCTCAAATCTTATTGGAATCCCTGGGGCCTTGAAAGTTGCTGGTCCTGCCCTGACAGATGTGGGATTGATCCGAGTCCTTGGGCAGCCCGTTGTTGTATTTGTGCTTTGGCCCTTGGCACAGTGGAATGTGTGCAGAGAGCTTGGTGCCTGCCGGCAGTACGAGAGGACATGGCTCCCAACAGACCTCCTCAGGGGCTGCTGTCAGATAAACAAAACCTGGGATTCACCAAAACCAAAGGTTGCTGGTTGAGCTCAAGCTGAGGCTATCAGCAAACCTGCTCCTGCAAGTTCTGTAATAACATAGGCTTCCTGTGCACTGGCTTGTGGTGAGCCAGGAACACACATGAATACATGTGTGCTCATCCTGTACTCCATGCAAAGCCTGAAGACCGTGCTCCCTATTTTCCTCCCGTCATCATGGCAAGTACGTGGGACAGTGAAAAGTGTGGCTAAATTTGTGTTAAGGATTTCTGCTGCTTTGCTGTAGGATTTCCCAGACCCTCAGAAGTGTTGCTGAAGCCAGGCTGGGGACAGAGGTGCTCTATGAACTGATTGAGGTGAGAGTGAGGAGATTGGGTGTGACCAGCCACAGACACTGATCCCTGACTTCCCAAGGGGTGGGACATCCCTGAGCCCATGGACAGGCCAGTGAGTAAAATGTTTGCTTTAATGTTTTCACAGAAGGGAAAGGAGATCCTCACTGACAACAATATTCCTCAAGGACAGTGTGTAATCTGCCTCTATGGATTCCAGGTAGGCATGTGTCTCCTGACCCCACAAACTGACTGGGAAGTGAGGCAAGAGAACAGGAAGTCTGACACTGGGATATCAGCCTGGGACCAAGATGTACACCAGCAGCCCACTGCCTCCCATTCTGCACAGGGCCCTTCCTAGTGCAATACATGCTGCTCTTCCCATAAATTTCTAGATAATCTTCTACAGAAAATGGACGTAGGGCAGCAAGAGATGCTGGAGCATCTCCAAGGAAGTGTAGGCTCTGGGGCTAGTTGGTGATGCATTTCAGCTTCCCTGTGTTGGCTACACCTCACCATGAGTTCAGCACACAGGTGGTCAGGAGGGACTAGAACATATCTATCCAGGTGCTAAGGTCTGTGGGGATAGGGGAGCAGGCCTTACCAGATTGCAAGGGAAGTCAACACCTGCCTAGGAAGGAGAACACATCAAGTGGGAAGATTGCTGGTTACACAGGAACACATACAGAAAAATCAGTCATAAAATCTTTGCATATTGACATTAGGAGTGTTTCTAACATTTGAAACAAGAAGCAGCATCCCAGTAATTGCTGAAGGAGTGGAGGTGCAGCCCAACAGATGATGCTGGGCGGCTCTGCTAGCACTAATTCCCCATGGATACCACTGACATGAAAGTGAAAACCCAGCTCAACTGTGTGGTTGCACAACTCTTTGCATAGAAATCCTTCAAAGATGCCCTTTTCTCTTGACAGGAGAAAGAAGCCTTCACAAAGACCCAGTGCTACCACTACTTCCACTCCCACTGTCTGGCCCGCTACGCCCAGCACATGGAGGAGGAGATCCTCATGCAGCAGGAGGAGAGAGGGCAGCACCTTGCACCATCCCCTAAACAGGTACTGGGCCTCCTTCCTTGGCCCCCTGCACAGACCCTTTTAACATCTGTATCACCCTCTTTGGCACATGGAGCCTGTGCTGAGAATCAACAGGGATTAGACTAAGTTATCTCCAAGGGCCCTTTCTGACCAAACAAGTTGGTTTATTGAATCTCTGGGACAGTGCCTGCTGTGTGAGGGGGTAAGGCAGTTGCATTTTTAGACTTCTGCAACCACAGAAGTTAGAAAAAAGGGCTCGCTCCTTCCCTAGTCCTAATCCTTGTCCTTGAACTGTGGGGGGTTGCAGCAGAGTAAACACAAATCACCTGTGTTTTGGGGTGATAATACCTGCCTAGCATGGGTTGGAACAGTTGTCAGCTGCAGAGCAAACAGCACAGCTGAGTATGGAACAATCAAAGACTCCTTCCCACAAACCCTTCCAAGGAGGTGCTGCCTTGATGACACACTACGCTTTGGAGCACAAAAAAATACATCCTAGGCTGCGGGCTGAAGCCATATGTGTTGACAGGGGTGCTTTGTAAAGCAGTCAGCTGCTGGAGTACAAATCCCAGCATGTCTTATATGGAGACACCTTCCATAGCAGTTGTTGAGACACCAGGCTGCTTTCATGCTGCTGGAACCCCTCTGGGCTTCCTTACCTTGGCAGAAGAGTGAAGAAGACAACCCTGTTTCACTTCCAGGGTGGGGTTATGGGGCAGTGCATGAGCTGGATCACAGACAGGGTTTGCTATCATCTCTTGCCTCTCCACAGGAAGTTGGTGTGCAGTGCCCTGTCTGCCGGGAGACCCTGGTTTACGATCTCTGTGCTCTGAAGGCAGCACCGCCCCCGCAGCACCCTCTGGTAAGAGATGGGGGCTCACCTGCCCAGCTGTGCCTCCTCACTGGGTAGCTTCAACTGGGATATTGTAATGCATGCACACTCTCTATCAGGTCCTCCTAGATTGCCTATTCAAAGGGCAGCTCACAGAGCAGGTTCAGTTTGATAGCCCTGAGTTGAGCAGATGTGCTGAGGGAGAGGTGGTTCTGCCATGGGGAACATCCCTGCACTCACTGGGAAACAATCAAGTCAGGAGAGTGGCCTGATAGCAGCTGCTCTGCATCCTGCCCCACAGCAGGATGGCCCAAGGCAGTCACTGCAGAAACAGTGGGTCTGCACCGGGATGCTTGGCTTCTGTTCAGGGATTTCCCATTCATCTGCAGACCTGGTCAGTGTGGCAGAAAGAAGCAGGCTGCCTGGCACTGTGCAAAGAAGGGTTTGGGGAGTAGCTCCCAGCCCTGCCACTGCCTATCCATGCTAGGTTTTGAGAGAGCCCTTACCTTGCCTTGCTTTCTTCTGCTCAGGAGCCATACAGGCCAGATGCCAAGGTGCTGCAGCACCAGGAAGAACTGCGCCTGATTTTCAAGAGACAGCAAGAGAAAGGGGGAATCATCGACCCTGAGGCAGAGAGGAACCGATATTTCATCAGCCTCCAGGCGGTACGGCACTGGGGGCAGAGAGCTTCTGAGGGGGCTCTGGGCTACAGGACCAAGCACTGTCGTCTTCTGTGGGACACCCCTCTCCTTTTCTTAACCAGTAGCTTTTTTCTTTCAGCCTCCAGCTGCTGTGGATACAGGCCAAGCAGCCACTGCCTCTGAGCTGTCGGTGAGTGCCCGTGCTGCGGACGTGCCCCAGCCGTCCAGCCAAGCCTCGGCTCCCGAGCCAGCAGGGGCGTCAGAGGCCAGGGTGGAACCCGGGCAGCCTGAGAGATGTGCTGTGCCCAGAGAGCAGCTGAGCAAGAGGGAGAGGCACAGAGGGGAGAGGCCAGGCTCCAGAGGCCGGGGCAGGCAGCTGTGCAGTAGCTTGCAGGAACCAGGAGAGGAAGCCTGTCATCCACTCCACAGCTCCAGGGGGCCCAGGGTCTTCAGCCAGAGAGCAGAGCATAGACCTGCTGGACGGCACAGCCAGTTTTCAAAGCCTCCCAGTAGAAGCAGGGCTGCTCCCTTGGCTGAAAGAAGGGAGCTGTGCCGTGAAGACCCCTCACCAGCAGCAGAAACTGTGGACTTGAAAGAGGAGCACCATGACATGGAAAAATGGAGCACAGAGGAGGGGACTGAGGCCCGGGGCAGGAAAAAGGAGAACCTGATGTTCAACCGCAGTGACCACAAAGCTGCCCCCAACTGGCAGGGCCACCATAGGCCCTGGGATTGTGGAAGATGGGAGAGGTCCAGAGTTCAGGAGCATGGTTCCTACCCCAGAGCACCAAGAGGGCGAGGGGCGTTCAGGCCCAGTGGACATCGAGAAGCCCATCTTGAGAAGGAGAGCGGCTCCTAGCAGGAATGATGAGGGGCTGGGGGAATAAAAGGGCTATTTCTGGAGAGAACGGATGAAGGATCTGATGAAGCAGTAGCAAGCAGATACTGTACCCCTGGAAGGGGGGAGTCAGATGGCACATGGGACAGGCAGTGTCACCAGGGTTTG